ACAGGAAATCTGAACATTCCATAGAACATCACATAAATGCATTACCATCATGTACCGCATAACAAACTTTTGGTGACTGACGGACTGCATATGAAAAATTCCTATCACCTAGTGACATTGTAACCATCTTAACATTGTAGAATAGAAAATCTACTGTGAATATTGCCGGTGAGAGGCCACATCAAGCAATTGACCTGGAAACAAAATTAAAAGAACTACCAAGGTGGAAAGTTAGCGATGACTATTACTCGCCTGTCAGGCATGTCCCATTCCACCATATCTATGATCAAGAACATAGTGATGCAAGCTGTTAAAGGATCTGCTTCAGATCCTTGAAGGCAGCAAGACCAACAAAAAAAAATTTGACAAGGACCTGTATCAGGCATAGAAAGACTTCTAATTACCTGGATTAAAGACCAAACACAGAAGAGTATCCTTCTCAGCACCATGATGATCATAGCCAAAGCAAAAGATTTGTTTGTGATGTTGAAAGATCAAAAGGTTGGACCTATGATGATGAATTTAGTGCTAGCTCTGGGTGGTTTAAACAATTCAGGAATTGTTACTCGTTACATAATGTGAAAGTGAGTGCTGATGTGAAGGCAGCTGAAGACTTTTTGGAAATCTTAAGTGATTGTGTAAGATAATTACTTGCCAGAGCAAATATTCAACATGGATGAAACCTCCCTATTCTGGAAACAAGCCTGAAAAGACTTTGATCTATAAGGAGGCCAAGTCAATGCCAGGTTTCAAGGCTTTTGAGGATAGGACAACAGTCTTGGTTGGGAGCAATGTTGCAGACTACAAATTGAAACCCTTGGGATCTGACACAGTGAGACCCCAGGCCGTCAAGCCTATTAACAAGCACACACTGTTGGTGTACTACAGGAGCAATAAGCCATGGATGGCCCAGCTCCTCTTCCAAGATGAGCTCTTGAATTGCTATGCCAGTGAAATGGAGAAGTATGCTTACAGAATAACCTATCTTTAAAGATTTTGATTCCTGTTGATAATGCTCCCAGAATCATCCTTTTATTTGTGATCTTCATCCCAATATCAAAGTGGTGTTTTCGCCTCCAAACACCACTTCTTTGATCCAACCAAAGGATCAAGGAACTATAACAGCTTTTAAGGCCTACTGTGAGGAGCACCTTATCCCAAACTATTGCTGCAACTGAGGAAGACACTAAGAATGTGATGCAGTTCTGGAAGGATTACAACATCTATGACTGCATCAGGAACCTTGCTTGGGCTTGGAGTGGTATTAGGAGGGTATAAATGGCATCTGGAAGAAGACACTCAGAAGGTTTGTTCATGACTTCAAAGGATTGGTCAAGGATGAGGAGCCTGCAAAATCAACAAGGCTGTGGCTGAGATGGCAAAAAACTTTATGAGGATGATGTTGAGGAGCTCCTAGAAACTGTCTAATGAGATGTTGGAAGTGGAGCAGGAATGCATAGCTGAAGAAGACCAAGAGAAAAGGAAACTGCAGAAGAACCTCCCGCAAAATTCACAGTGAAGGGTTCAGCAGCTTTCACAGACCTCGACAAGCTCTTTAAAAAAGTTTGAAAACATGGGGAAAAAACCCACAAAACCAGCTGGGTGTGGCTCAGTGGTTGAAGGTCGACATCTGATCCAGGTGATAGAGGTTCGATTCCCAGTCAGGGCACATGCCAGGGCTGTGGGCTTGATCCCCAGTAAGGGGTTTGCAGGAGGCAGCCAATCAGTAACTTTCTCTCTCTCCATCTCCCTTCCTCTCTCTGAAACAAATAAAAACATATTTAAAAAATAATACTCTCGCCTGGCTGGGCAGGTCTCAGCAGTTGAGCATCGACCTAGGATCCAGGCAATCGGGGTTCGATTCCTGGTCAGGGCACATGCCCGGGTTGTGGGCTCGATCCCCGGTGGGGAGCATGCAGGAGGCAGCCGATCAATGACTCTCTCATCATTGATGTTTCTCTCTCTCTCTCTCCCTCCCTTTTCCTCTCTCTGACATCAATAAAGATACATTTTAAAAAAATTTAAAAAAATAATACTCTCCTTCCTCAAAAAAAAAAAAGAGGGAAAGGAAAACCTGATGCAGTCTGCAAGTGCCATTCCTCCCAGCTGGTTGGAGGATTCACATGTAGGCCATGCTTTCTCCCCAGGTTGCTCCCAGCATACCAGTCAGATCATATCTGCCCAATGCTGGGCTACGATAAGGGGTAGTCTCTCTGAGATTCTCCATCAAGCTGGCAGACATTCTCCAAGCAGCTTAGATCTGATGCTCTTTTTACCCACGTGTCAGACTCACGCTGCAATCTGAAGACTTTCCCTGCCTACTGTGCCCTCTCCCTGTATCCTTCACAGGCATCTCCTTCTGACTCCATCTTAGTGTCTGCCTATTAGAGGATCCAAGCAATGAACTTTTAAAATTACAATAAACAAGTGGGAAAAATTATCACAAACCATCCACATCTCTTGACTCTACAACTTTCAAGCACACAGAATTTCAATGGCCTAACCCCATACTCTCAAATTTATACTGCGTTGTTTCAGATGTTAATAGTTGAGGACTGCTGTGGCCCCTTCTAAAGCCTGCTTCACAAAGCCATGACCTTTAAAGGGTTCTTCCTTTGTAATTAGTTCCTGAGTACAGGGAAACTTTAAAAAAAAATTAATCTACCAAGGCCATCTGTTTGTAATACTGAAGTTATGTCATTTACCGAGGAATCAGTGCCTTAGCACTTTTTCCTGTCTTACAAGTCCTACCTTTCTGTTCAGTAGTTCTAGTTAGGCTAACTTTCATGAGAATATCAACTTGTCCACTTTCCTTGACTACTAAAGGGTGATTCTTGGTTCACTTGATAGAATTTCAATACATCTATTGTCCTATCACAGCAAGTTATCTCAAGCTCTACTTTAACAAAGCTTTGATTTAGTACAATTCATGAATCATGGCCTATGGCACATTCAATCCACTCATTCCTCCAGAGGAAGGGTCAGCCTGGATTGTACAACCTGAGGTAAGAATGGTTTTTACATTTTTAAAGGGTGATTTTTTAAAAATTAAAGACTAAAAAGCAACAGAGACCAATATGTAAGTGGCAACGCCTAAAATATTTACTAGTTGTTCTTTCAGAGTGAGTTTGCCAATCCCTGTTCCAGAGCAGTATTTCTCAGGGACCAGTGCTGACAAAATTTAGGGCAAGTTCTCAAACATAGTATGAATAAGTTACTTGAGTTTGTCAAAATGCAGATTCCTGGCAACCCAAAAGTTCATGTCTAGGGCCCTAGAAAAAATATATATATGTATATATATACATACATATATATATATGTGTGTATATTTTTTAATATATCTTTATTGATTTCAGGGAGGAAGGGAAAGAGACAGAAACATCAATGATGACAGAGTCATCACTGATCAGCTGCCTCCTGCACGCCCCTGACTGGGGATGGAGCCCGCAACCTGGGCATGTGCCCTTACCGGAATTCGAACCTCAATCTCCTGGATCCTAGGTCGATGCTCCACCGCTGAGCCACGCCTGGATGGGCTAGAATCTATATTTTAAATAAACAACCCAAGTTAGTATGATGTGAATGGTTCTAGGTTACTTTGAGAAAATGTTAACTTTTACCATTGCATCAGTACTTCTTATTGCATTACCTTTATTGGACTGTATTTCAGTGTCAAGATACATCTGAACTGTGGGGACGTCTCAGGACCAGGGAATACTGCTTTTCCTGTGCAATAAACTTTCTTCTATCTTATGGTTACCATGAATCTTCTAATTATCTTCTGCTCTTTGTCAATTTTGTTCTACCTCTGAGCTAATGTACAAGATCTGATAGTATGGTATTTGCATGATTTAAAAACTGTTTCACCCTCTTTTCCCCCCTCTATTTTGGCTTCATCCCATTCTTTTCCATTTGTTTTAATGCATCTGGTATGTCACCTCAAATCATGTTTTGGGAAACAAGTAATACTACCCTAAATTACTACTTATGCTACATAATATGAACATTCCTTAATTTTCCTGGTTTACAGAAAAAATATTTTTGTTATGAGATGATAGGAAAAATAATCTGGAGAATAAAATGAGATACAGGTTTTTTTCTTATACAAAATTTCTTAGCCAATGAAGTGTGGAGATAATAATCAGCCTAGATAGGGAGAAATGGTCCCCAAACACAGTGTTCCAACCACAAGAATTCGTGAAAGGAGTTAGAGTCAGAAAACTGAGATCAAGAAAGACTTACGGACTCCAATTTTGAGATGAAAAGATCCAATAGCTCTTAAGTAGGATATTGATAACCAAAATTTACAGAACTAAAAGGACAGTTAGTATTTATTAATCAATTACCTGCTAAGCACTATTCATGTATTACAGCATAGTTAATCCTCACACATCAAGCTAGGAAAGTAGTTATTTCCATTTGTTACAAATGGCTTGAAGAGGTTGACTTGTCTAAAGGCCTACTAGTACATGATGGAGTTAGAACTGGATCAATATTTGACTATAAAGCCCATTCTTTGTTGAAAGTACTAGGGCTGCCTCTGTATACACACACTGTGTATGTGATCCCCTACATTTCAAATATACTAGGTCAGACATGGTCTCTAGTTACAAGATTAAAACATAGTGTGTGGTGTTGTGACAAGTGTGTGCCAAAGCCTTGTGAAAATGAAATAGAAAAAAGCCTGCACTTCTTCAGATTAAAAAAAAAAGCAACAGTTATTCAGCATGGACTGATGAAAGAAGCAGGACAAAATCCATGTGATACATATCTATGTGCCAAAAGGAGAAGTAATTGTTTTAAAACACATTATAGAGAGATCAGTCTATCAAAAACCAAAGGAGTTTCATCTTGCAAAAAGTGAAGAAAAGAAAAAAATAAAGAAAATGATATATGTGGAGCTAGACTTCAAGTGTAGACATATGGACTGAAGTGAATTCGTGTGAGATAGAGCACAGAAATAACTGCCAAAAACAAAAACAAATCGTACTCCATGTTACTTCATTTCCAGTTCTGGTGTTTTTATTTTTGAAAACACAACGAATCAAGAGGTTAGAGCTATTGCTTCCTTGTTCTGTGTATTATCCTCCATTTGAAAAAACACAGTCGAATGTATCTTCGTCAATTCTGTGAATGAAGTAATAAGCAAAAAGGACCACTGGTTACTTCAAAAGAACCTAGGGAGAAAAACACATACAGCTCACTTAAATCAGATTTAAACAATCTCTATTGCTAGGATGAGAAAAAAAGTAAAGATAAAAAGTTAACTAATGTGACAATATTACAAAATGTCTAGATTACAAAAAAATAAAATAAATAACCTTTTTTTTTTTTATTACCACACTTTACTTTGGTAATCCTCAGCTGAAAAAGGTATACTTAGGTGTACTCTGATTCTGAGTTGGAAGATATTTAATGTTCTTGTCATTAAAAATTAATACTTGCCCTGGCTGGTGTGGTTCAGTGTGTTAGAGCATCATCCCATACACCAAAAGGTGGCAGGTTTGATTCCTGATCAGGGCGTATACCCAGATTGATTCCCAGTCAGGGCGCACGCAGGAGGCAACTGATCAATGTTTCTCTCTGCCCTCCTCCCTCCCTGCCTCCCTCCCTTCTTCTCTCTAAATATCAATTTTTTAAAAAATTTAAAGCTTAAACCTATGGTTGGTTTAAAAGAGCAACCTTACTTTCCAAATTTACTTGACCTTTCTTCAGGAGAAACTATTCTAACTCCCTGGAATTTGTTCTCTTTAGTGTATGAAAAATTAATAGTTCACTTTATAGGTCCATTATATTGTCTACTTCATTAAGATGTTGCCAACACAATAGCCAACACTTTTTTCTTAGCGATTAATTTACACCACACTATAGAGACAATTTTTATTTTATAAAAATCAACCCAATTTTAGACAGAATTTCATATTAAAAATATAATCACATAAAAATGTCAGTACTATTACTCCTTAACAACCCTATACTATAGACAACTGTGTTTTGTTTTAGTCAAAAATAAACTGTACCAAGAGGAAAAAATTGAGGCAAGAACAATTCTTGTACATCACACAAAATAAAACATAAAATAATAATACTGAAATGTCTAAACAAAATTATAACTTAAATGCTCTAGGCTACATTTTCAATAAATGATACAATGAGCAATAAATTTTTATTCAGATTAAGATTCAAGTTGGTCATCTTTTTCTTTTTTCCCCAGTGAGAGGAAGGGAGAGGGAGAAAGAGACAGAAACATCAATGATGAGAGAGAGTCACTAATCAGCTGCCTCATGCATGCCCCCCGCTAGGGATCGAGCCCGCAACCCGGCATGTGCCCTGACTAGGAATCGAGCCTCGATCTCCTGAATCCTAGGTTGATGCTCAATGGCTGAGCCATGGCAGCCGGGCCAAGTTTGCCATCTTTTTTTCAGATCTAAAGCATTGATATCTCTATATACTAACCAAAACTGGTGATTAAGGTAAAACTGTTTTTAAAAATGGAGAAATTCTGCCCTGGTCAGTGTGGCTTAGTGGGTTGGAGCATCATCCTGTCCACCATAAGGTTACGGGTTGGATTCCGAGGCAGGGCATGTGTGTAGCAGGCAACCAATGATGTTTCTCTCTTTCTCACCCCCTTTCCTCTTTCTCTGAAATCAATAAAAAACGTCCTTGGGTGAGGATCAAAAAAAAAAATTCTTTTAAAAATTCTAACCATATTAACTGAGGTTGTATATTCTTATGTTTCAGCTAATATACATAATGTTACTTAGCATGAGGATGAACAATTTTTGGAATAGAAGGTGACTTATTTTTACACTTTTTTTAAAAAAAGAATCAGCCCAGCCGGCATGGCTCAACAGCTGAGCATCAACCTATGATCCAGGAGATCAACGTTTGATTCCCAGTCAGGGCACATGCCCGGGTTTCGGGCTTGATTCCTACTAGGAGCCGTGCAGGAGGCGGCCAATCAATCACTCTTATCACTGATGTTTCTCTCTCTCTCTCCCTCTCCCTTCCTCTCTCTGAAATTAATAAAGATACGTTTTTAAAAAAAAGAAAAAACAAATTGTGTAACTGTGTATGGTGATGGATGTTAACTAGACTTACTGTGGTGATCATTTTGCAATGTATATAAATACTGAATCATTATGCAGTACACCTGAAACCAGTATAACGTTATATGTCAATTATAACTCAATAAAAAAATCAGTCAATTTGAAGTTAAAAGTTCAGATAAGGTTAAGAACCATATGCCTCTTCTTTCTAAGTGATCTTAAACAGTTTGGTTGCCAGAAATAATAAAGATACTACAGTTAAATAAGTAGTTCAGTGAGTCAACAGGTCTGTATCTTATTATAAATTTAAGAATTAAAATTTATATGCTTTAGTTCTACAGACTTCAAAATGTCATTTAATTTCTGCTCAGCCTCATGAAATTCTAAAATGTACAGAATCACAATGTTGCTACTCTGATTCATATTTTTGAGGGCAGCTGTCAATGCAAAGGAAATTAATCTGTTTATTGGGCAGATACAGACATAAAGAATGCAAATGAAAAGATGAGACACATACCACACACAAAGCAAAGCAGGCAGGCAAAGAAGAAAAATGGCAACACTGGAAAAGTAAAACTGAGAGAGAGTGAATGAGAGAGAAGCATACAGAGAGACTAAGGTAAGAGAGAGAGATAAAGAAACAGAGGGAGAAGCACAACCAAAGAAAGAGGAAGAGTAGAAACAAATATAGGCAAGACAGAAAGGAGAGCAGAGTGGAACTAATGAGCAGAGACAGTGACAAGGAAATGGGACTAGACAGAAAAGAGACAGTCAGTTAAAGAAAAGGTCACTTTTACCCCATAATTTTTTCGAACTACATACTTTTGTCACCTCCCCAATGTTCTCACTAAAAAGGGAACAGACTTTTATTTTTACAAAATGGTTAACAATGCATATTTCATTTACCTTGCAGATTTCTAAAAATTCAGATTTACTGTTTCAAAACTTGGATAGCATAATTTTTGCCAACACTAAGGTTCATATATTGACTGTGCTAACTCAATAGGTGAATCCTTTCACAATATATACAAATGTCAAATCATCACATTATACTCTTTAAATATCTTTAAAATTTATCAATTATATTCAATAAAGTGGAAAAAAAGGTTCACATATATCAATTTACTAGAGATAAATCCCTCGTTTTACATACAACAAATTTTTTTTCCAAAGTAGTTAGAAGAAATTCATCCTAAGGCGACCTGTTGGCATTTATGATTACACATCACAGTGACTTGTATAACACCAGCATTGAAAACACATTCTTAATTGAAAGTAACTTACCATTTAGAGTCAAAATTAGAAATCTTAGTCCAGTTTCCACTTTTTGCCACCTTTACTTCACTTGGTACGGCATGCTCTATCTCTTTTATGCCAATACTGTAAGTAGCCATCAATCTGAAGAATTCCTTCTTCTGCTGCCACCTAACAGTTTATTTCTCTGCTGCAGCAGAAGGGTATACAGAAAAAGTTCTTGCTTACTATTCAGATTAAATAGAAACATTCCTTTATTAAACATTTCACATTTTCACATGTGCAAGCTTCCTCACTGTTTCTCTCCCAATACCTCCCCGCCAAAATGCAAGACAAAAATCCCAACCACTGAAAATCAAGCAATGTATGGTCAATGTTCATGCTAAGCTGGGAAAATTAAAAAAAAAAAAGTGCAAAGATTTAGACATTCAACAGTTGCCATCTCAAGGAGCCGTTTCTTTTCTGTTATACTTTCCTTCTTCACCTATCTCTAATCTTATGAATAAATAAATAACTTAAAATTTTAACTAGTAGTCTACAACTCCTGCAAATTTTAAGTTTAGAGACTACCAAAAGAATTGTGGAAGATGCAGCAATAAGGGAGTTTTTTAAAGTATTTCTAGAAACTAAGGGTGTTAGGTGCTTTACCTGCTTGAGTTTTCAATGTTCTGGACTGCTTATTGCCCAATGGCTCTGAATACATTAAAACACGAACACATACGCCACCTACATTTAAAATAGGGTAGCATTTGTATGCCCATATAAGCACTGGATATATTTTTTGCAAAAGAGTAATAAATTCATTAAGTCCTTTTAAAAAAACTGACCAAAAATGCACATTTCCTCAAATTGTATACATATATAAAAGAATTAGGGCAAAAAAGCGTGACAGAATGACAAATGTAACAGCAGTTGTAGAACTGGAAACTAACACCACATTAATGTTTTCTGTTCGTTAAAATCCTGAAATTCATTTTTATTCCCCTTCTCTTTGTCACTGGGGGTCTAGGTTTCAAATTTATTCTGTATTAGCTACTAAAGAACAGTATTCAATAATGAATTAGTAATAATAGTAAAGGCTTGTTATTCTTCCAACCTCCCACTACCTTCACCCCAAAATAAAAATATGTACAGTTTTGTTAACTTAAAAAATAAAACAAACACTGACATAAGCACGGAAGGCTAATCAACAGAGCACTGCAGTGACATTGTTTCTACTTTCTATTCCTTCCCCCATCTCAAACCCCACCCTTTGACCTCTGTATATGGGATGAGCCTGAGCAGGAGAGTTGGTGATGTCAGGACTGCGCCGTTCCCACGGATGATCCTAGAGGCCTGCTGTGCTTCTGGGAACTGGGGCACAGGGATGTCTGTCTGACTGAAACCTAAAACAACAACAATTCACCCCACCCCTCATGTTCCCAAACCCCACAATAGCAGCCAAGTATATATGCTATATAAGGCCCACCTAATAAGTGATTATGGTAAAATCTAAAAGCAAGATCATTCTTATCAAGTCAGTGATCTTCATGGGGGCAGCAGAATGGAGGCTGCTAAATTCTCCATGTTCCATGCAATCACATAGCCCACACATTCTAAAGCTGGCCATTCTTATCAACAAGAGAACAAGGTTCTCCTGTACAAGCCTTTTTTAGTATACATCATAAATTCCTATAGGAGTGCAGCTGGGACTCTTTTGTTAGTAAATTTCTGTTCAACAGGTAAGTATTTTTGTCTTAAAGTGCTTAAGTTTCTGTTCCTATCTTATTTGAGTGAAATAAAGCACAAAACAGGTTAACGATTTATGTTATGCCTTCAGCTGTAGGAATAGCATTATAAGCCAGGATCTCCTACTAACTAGTGATTTATTGGATTTACAGTCTCTTTGGATAGGACATCTAAAGCCACAGGATAAAATTATGCATAAGTGTATCTTGAAAAGGTCCTGACTACTATCACTAAAATTCCACCTATTAGAAAGATGATTATCTCCAAAAATGATAACTCATATCAGAGCTAAAACTTTAGGAAGAACAGGAAAAAGAAGGAAAAGGTAATTGGACTGGGGTACACAGAGGGGATAGTATATTAACAAACAAGAAAGCTATTAAAATGGAAAAGTTGTATTCCTATTCCTGCCACTAACCTCGTTAATCTGCTTAACAAGCTTGTGCTTCAGAAATGCCTTCCAATCTGTTAAAACCTGCAATTTTTAAATGTTTGAACCATCACTTCATGATAATCTCAAACTATTCATATCTATTTTTGTTAGCACTAGTGTCTGAAATGCTAAAGTAATTAGTTCTGAAATCACGCTACTCATGTTTTTTGCTCTCTTTGTCCCATCATTCCCTTTCACTTTTATGATGTCATAGAAAGAGAAGCACTAAAGTCAACTGAATGCTATGGTGAGTTTTTACCATATATATAACCTATAACCTAAGTTTACTTTTTCAAAACTAGTTTTCCATACCTGTCAACTCCTAATTGATGTCTTTATACTGTGAGCTCACTGTGTACTCGGAACACCAACCCCTGAAAAAGCTTAAGCCAGAGTAGCACAATGGAAGAAACAAACAAACCCAAAACAAAAACAAAGCCAAAAAGTCACACTCTGAAATCATTACAACATATATGCAAGGAATGGAGTTATCTGTATGGTTTAAGCACATCCCCAATGAAAGTCCTGAGTTCATCCCAACCAATTCAAACTTTATCCCCAAATGTTCTTCCTTAATCAAATTATTTGCTAGATACAGGTATGCATTATTTTTTTTAATGAGAGCTATTACAAACCCATGGGTACCTTTAAAGTACATAAAGAATTTTTTTTAAAGGAAAATAGTTAGCCTTGTGATGGAAAGAAAGTATAAAGAGTCAAATTACCTGCAAGCAGGCTGGGGCTGTGCCTGAATCCAAACCGCTGCATTTACCATTCATTATACAGCTGCATTATTGGGGGAAGGGGGGTTTAGAAGGGCACTGACCCCGAAAGTTCTCAATACTTCTCACTCATCATCAGGAAGGGGGAAGAAGGAAAGTGTTTTTGTTTGTTTGTTTTTGGTTTTTTGTCTCCTGAAAAGGCTGGCAAAGAACAGTAACAGTAAAAGCAGTTAGAATATTTCTTTAAAAACAATTTTAAAAATGCAAAACATTAAGGAATTTCAAACACCAAACTTTCGTTAATATAGAAAGAGTTTTCACTAGAGTTAGGCAGCCACCCCAAAACATCATGGCAAGAGGGCATTGGTATAAAGGAAATAAAATACCACACAAAAATTCAAAAAAAAACTAAAAACTTCAAATTAAACCTGGAAGACTAGAAGATTCCAACAGCAGATTTCTGTCCACTACTGAAACATTCCAAAATCCAAGCTTCAAAGGCGCCTAAATGTATCTTAAATAAAACTTTGTCATTTTTTAAGAATAAAAAGAAAGAAAGCAATAAACCTGGTTATAAATCCTGCAATATATTACATTTAAAAATATCCTAGTACAACAAAAACAAATTTTAAATGAAATTAAACAAACAAACAAATAAAAACAGTAGCAGCAGAGGTTACCTGTCTGAGCACCTACATTTTCTTAGGAGGGGATCGTGTCTCACCAGCCATATAGCCCATTAACCTTCTCAAAAAGAGTGAGCCAGGAGAAAATAACATAAGATTTGACTTCACAATGTCTCTAGGCTCCCCAGACCCCAAACTGGGGACTCACTGAATGAAGAGGATTTGTTTTTCCATTTTCTTCTTGAGAAAAAGAAGAGATGATTTTGAAAGTCAATTACTTCTTTCGATGCTTTCGATAATTTCTCAAAAGTCTGATAAAGTGCTTGATGAAAGCAAGTCTCTTGATGGATATGCATAATGTTCCAGGATATTTTCTTATTGATAGCATATACAGAAAGGTTTTAAAGTTCAGTAGAGTAAAAGCCAGCAGAAAGGACCGATCAATTTTAGGCACAAAAAAAAAAAACTATTAAAAATTTTAAATGGAATAGTTCATATTTATATATGTGTGTGTATGTATATATAGTCCAGTTTTCATCATGAGTGACATAAAAACAATATCAGAAAGAATTACTTTTAAAATACAATTCAGAATTACAATTTTAACAAGCACAATTTTACAGTAATTCAGATTTTGGCATGATGATTATACATATTTAATAAATACATTTTACCTCTCAATAGCAATAAAGATTAAACAGAAGTTATTAAACAACATGAAAATATATTTAACTTTCACTTAAATATCTGGGCTGTTTCATTTGGGCTCTTCCAGAATGATCTGTTCATAATCTTTACCTTAATTTTTGAAGAAATTCAAGAAAATATTCATGTTTTTAAAGTCTAAGATGACCAGTTCTTCCCTTTTCATTCTAAAACGTGAGTGTGTGATCTAGAAATAGGTTGGTAGAGCTATGCTTTAATATAATATGAATGCACTAAAGATGGATACCGAATAAAACTAAAGGTGAAACCTGATATTTCTTATAATTTGGTAAAAAATTTTAAAATGCTGCCTACATTTTTCCTGGTGCCTTATCCCACCCAACACAAACCTTGAGTTCTGTATCAAATAGAGAGGGTATGTGTTTCAAAATTCATTAATCTATATACATGTGATATATAACTATTCAAAGTATGTGTAACATAATTTAAGTGGCAACCAGATGGTCTCTACAGAAACATATGAATGATGATTTAATTAAGCAGTTCTTTCTCCCTCATTTCTCTATCCCAAATACTATATATCCTCCAAACTATGGCCATTCAGTGAAAGAAGTACCAAGTATTTCTTTCTGTTAATGAGTCAGAGGTACTTATGTATGTAAGTCCCACAATAACGCTGTGCAAGTCAAATTCTTTTAGATGAGATAAGAATATCCTAAAATAAATTAGAAACTCCTTTTATGTATTTTTTTTTCAGGTGAAATGAAACACTGCACAGATTAGAAGTACTATTCTATTTGTCAACAATCAACCTTTCATTCCATTTTAATATTATTTAATTCTATGGAAAAAAACAAATTTTATTACATTCCTTTTTAAAACGGGGGGAAAAACTGTACAAGTAAGCATGATCAAACCTCTGTTAGAGCTGGTTAATACTGATCTTTTATTATTGCCTCGAAGTCTCTCTAGTAGTGTCCAAGAAATTAAGATTAAGGTCCATCTGAAGGAAAAAAAGCACTGGAGAGGCAAGAAAGGACTTGGGTAAAAGCTTCAGAGGATTGTAGGGAGATGGAACTTGCTGTTTAAAAAAAAAAAATTATGTTGAGCTCTGGAGCATCTCCATTTCTTAACACACCTTCAAAACCATCACTGGCATAGTTTTCCCCATGTTGTAAAAGCTCATATTATATGCAGTTTGGGGGCTTTTATAAATCCAGAAAGTAAAGGAATATAAACAGTGGAGAGTACTGAAGGTTTCAGAGCAGGGCTACAAGAGACTCAATACTGCTAAGTCCCCAAACAAAAGCGCCCAGTCTACCCCACTCCAAAACCTATGTGTAATAGGAGAAAACACACAGCCAGAAGCATTGAAGAAAAGCATGTAGCCTTGAATAAATCATACACTGAACAGTCCAGAAACAAAGAAAAAAAACAAACAACAACATATACACAAAAAGGCCTAAGAAGCATCTATTTTCCTTATGTCTTCAGGTGAGTACCTCTACCCAGTGGAGACTAGTTATGAAAACAACTAATCTGCTTTTTAAAGTAAAAAAGTGTTTCCTATCATGCTCCAATTTCTAGTATCTATCCTTTTTGACTGGTTGGTGTAAACAAAAAGCTAAACACATACACATGCATGCGTGCACACACATACATATACTCCCTCTTAAAATGTGAAGGCAAATATATAATGCTGAAATTAGAAATCACATCGGCTTATGTTTAAGAACTTATAGGCCCTTGATTTGCCCCCCAAAATATTTTCCTTGTTCTTATTCTTTAAATGCCCAACCACCAAAAGAAAAAATAAAATAAAAATAAAAAGCTTTAAATGCACATGTTTCAAGTCAGTGTCTCAACAAAAAAGGTAGCATTTTCTTCACTTTGGCCATTGTTAAAGATGCAGGCATAGATTGGGGAATGTTAGACTATCATGTTTTAGAAAATGCAACATTAACAGAGAATATATCTTTCAAAAAAGACTAAAACACTAACAAATACAAGTCAATGCACATATTTTAAACTAGTGTAATTTTATCTACATTGGAGTAAATGTTATTTTGTGTACCAGACATTGCAATACTGTTCATTTCCCTTTTATCATGCAAACATGCCAATTTTGTCATTAAAAAAGCCTTTATTGGGTCATATTCACATTGCCCTCCCACTCAAATTAAGGAAAAACTAAAAACAGAAAAATAATAAATCCCAATAAGAGGCCCTTCAAGACTTCATAAACTATGAATATAAAGCTGCTAGTTAATACGGTAAAGGCAGAATTTTCAATTTGTATAAAAAATTCCTATAATTTAGATAGATGTTTTCTTCACCCATTATAAATGTTTGCCATACAATGTAAAGTTATGCTACTCCGAAATGTATACCAATTATACAAAAACAAAAGCAAGGAACCATGAAAAAATTTTGTATGTTCTTTATGGCCTGAGAACAAGCATATTTTTGAGTAATTACGAGAACCTGACATTCTTCTGTATCTACCCTCTTCTGCCTAGTCTATCTGTATAATTTGTAAATGAAAGTCAGTAACATCTTAATAGCAGAGGTCTTATCTATCTCCCTCTTTCTTCTCTTCTAACTAATACTACCCAATTTTCTCTCATCTTCCTGAGCATATTCCATGAACAGCATTGCAAGTTGGTTAAAAAATAATAATAAAGAAAAAAAAAAGAAAAAGAAAGTTTTACAGGGTTTTGTTGGTTAATTATTTACCAGTGGAATCACTCCACCAGGAGTTCAATTTCATTGGCTAGCAGCTGGTTCATGTTGAATAGGCCCCCTGGGAGCTTGGTGAGCAGTTCTCGCTCGGTGCTTTCAGGGTCGCTGTCAACAGAGCTGGAACTTGCGCTCATGTTGTCAACAGCAGTGCTGGCTGGGGGACCCAGCTCCGGCTCACTAGTTTCACTGGCCGTGGACACCACAGAGAGCAGGGACATACGCCGGGTGAGCCGGCCAGAGGGCAGAAGGGAGGCGGCATAGTCCGCTATGATACCAGCTACATCTAGATTACAAGCCTTATCAAAGGCGATGAAACCTACATTTGCATTGGCCTCGCAGACACAGAAGGAGCCGTCATCTTTCATCAACAGGTCAATGCCACACACATCCATCCCCAGGATATTAGACACCTGGATAGCTAGCTGCTTCCCTTGTTCACTCAATGAGCACATCATCCCCACACCACCTGCAAAAGAAGAAACAAAATAAGAAGTTAACCAAAACGATAAATTTCTGGAGTAAAACTAAAGCCGGCCTCTGAGGCTAACCCTTTCTTGTAAATCAGTAGTGAAAACAAAGGTGCTATTCTAGTGTAAAATTGGGACTTCGAAGTCTAAGTTTCCTTCATTAGGGAATCACCTTCCAACCCAGTCTCAATAACTTAGTACTTTTTTTTTTCCCCTTATATCTTTATTGATTTCAGAAAGAGGAAAGGAAAGGCAGAGAGAGAGATAGAAACATCAATGATGAGAGAGTCATTGATAGGCTGCCTCCTGCACGCTCCGGACTGGGGATGGAGCCCACAACCCGGGCATGTGCCCTGACCGGGAATCGAACCCTGATCGCCTGGATCCTAGGTCAACGCTCAACCGCTGAGCCACGCCCGGCTGGGCTGTACTTTTTCAATATGCTATATTTATTCTGAAGAAGACATTAAATTTTCACTGAAGCCTACCTTACTTGCAGTAATACAGACCAAGCAGAAGAAACTCTTGCATAAATACAGTTATGACAAAAATAACAGAGATGCATAATATGGAGACAGGGTGGGACAGAATTTTGAAACAAGGGGACCTAAGCATGGCCCTCTTCTTCTATAGTCCCCACTCCCATTTACCTGCCATTCCTCAGCCAAAAGAATTCTGGGGCTTAAGGGAGCTGACTGAATATAGGTGAAGTCTTAAGGTTTGCTGGTACCTGAGAGAAAGGAATCAGAACTAGACTTTCTCATTTGGAGACTAGCTTCAGGAAGCTCTGAAATAAGGACTAGAAAGCAAAGAATTCTGAGAAGAGCTTGGCTCAAAGAGCTCTGTGTATCCACAGGAGGAAAACTGACATAAGCATTATATGAATACGCCTGTCTTTGACCTCAAAAAGGCCAAAAGGTAACTGCATAGGTGAGCTGAGTCTTCCCTACCACTGAAGCTGGAAGAGCAGGGAGGGGAGTCCAGGAAACTGGAAGGCTTCTTTAAGTACCTCAGCAGGAGTCTGGCAAACTAGCCCATGAATTAAATGACTGCTTCTCAGCTTCTGTAGGACTAAGGCCATCTGGCATGCTCCAAACAGCAAGAGCAGAGCCATGATGTGAGAACAAAAAAATAACAAGCCACTGCCCTGGCTGGTGTGGCTCAGTTGGTTAGAGCACTGTTCTATGCACTGAGGGGTCACGGGTTCTATTCCCAGTCATGGCACATAGCCGGGGTGCGGGGCATGTATGGGAGGCTGCCAAACAATGTTTCTCTCTCGCCCTCTCCCACCCCTGTCTCTAAAAGAATCAGTAAAAACATATACTCAGGCAAGGATTAAAAACAAAAACATAAAACAAGCCATTTACAACTTGAATGGAAGAAATAAGAACACTTTAAGGAGATTCAAGCTCAGCACAGAAAAGACTTTCTAAAGCTAAAACAAAAACATAATTAACTGAAAACTTCAATAGAGGAATTGAAGGAAAGCACAGTCACTTTTGGGAGTCATAACTTAGGAAGTGTAAGAAATATTTCAAAGCACATACAAAAGACTTGAGGTAAAACCACACAAAAAAGACAAGAAATATGGAGGACTGACTTGAAAAAAAACTGCTCCAGGAGAAAAACAAAGACAGAGGAGAGGTAATAATTAAAAAATAAATTTTCCTGAAACTAGAAAAACTGAGTCTGCTGATAGAAACACCTTACTAAAATCCAAGTTGGACTGATTGAGGTAAGACACGTATCTAAAAATATCCTGAAAAAAATCTGAGCTAAAAAAAAGAAAGAATTGGACATTCACTTAGCAATGCAACCTGTGAGGCAGTAGAATTGAAGCTTGATTCTAATAATGTAAGAATCTAATCTCAGCCAATAAAAATGAAAGATATCTGAGGGTATCTACCACTCACACATCCCCATCCAGGGAAAATAATCAGGAAAAGATACTAACATAACAGCAAATAACTAAGAAAAGAGACCTCAAGATATGGGAAGATAACAGTCAGGGAGTAAACAGTGGTGAGTAATGATTCTTGCAATACAGGTATAATTAACTCTAAATGGATTTTTTAAAAGACTGCCTAGGAATAGATCATGTAAGTGCTATATAAGGACTTTTGAAACATAAGAGTAATTCTAATATAGACTTAGACTAAAACTATTAAATAATTTCAGCAAAACACTGGAATGTAAAGCCTATGAAAGCAGGGATTTTTGTCTGTTTTGTTCGCTGCTATATATAAAATACAGCTACAACAGTTAATACTGAATATGGGCAACTATTCATCATAAAAAGGCCTCTCGGGGGATAGAGTAATGAGGGCACTCAATTCTGAAGAACAAGATAAAGGGGCGCTCTTGCTCTATCAGATATCCAGGCATAATGCCAAAGGAATTAAGATTGATATTCATACAGCGAAAGAATAGTAACAGACGATAGGACCCTTAAACAAACCAATACATATATAGAAATTCAATACATAAAAAAGATGGCTTCACAATAAAATTAGAAACATCATTAAAAAAAAAAAAAAGATGGCATTACAAATCATAATAAACAGACTATTCAATAGAGTGCTGGAAAAACCAGTTACTATTCATTTGGAAAACAGAAAAAGGCGAAGAAAGGGATCAAGGTAACTAAGGATATTGGTCTAAACTGGAAAGGTAGAATTGCCATTAAATGATAAAGAGAAAACTGTGGGTGTAGAACACATTAAGAGGGCAAGTTAAAACAGCAGTTCAGTTCTAGACATGTTAAAATTAAAATAAATGTCTATTAGACATCTACACACAGATATTGAGTAGGCAGTTATTTATATGTGCCTGGAGTTCAAAGAGAAAGCCTAAATTGGATACATAAATTTGAAAATATTAACATATAGATGGCATTTAAAGTCATGAGCTAGATAAGATTATTAAGAAAGTGAAATAAACAGAGAAGAAGAAAAAAACAGACTAAGCTCTGTGGCATTTCAATAATAAGAGATCACAGAAAACACACATTTAGATAAATCAAAATGAGCAATCTTGTTTGGACCAATGGATAAACTGAGCTAGAACACTCTACCTTAAATGAATTCTAATTATACACAAAATAAGTGTATCAACAAAGAGGGTATCTTTAACTCTAGTCAGACAGTTCATACATGTGTGAAATGAATTACAGATTGAGCCTGGGTGAAAGTAAATTCATGATTGAGAGAAATCCAATTTCATTACTGGAAAAAAAACTCCTCAAAAGTGTATTTATTATATTCATGGTAAGTCTATTCATCATATTTACATGTGAAAGATAATGTTTCCCAGCTTATTAAGTAAAAATGTAGTTATATACAAATACTCATTGGACAAGCTATAACATTACTTTATATACCAGAAAGACACCAGCATCATTTTTACCTAGTGAGCAGTTGCTTTGCATCCTCCCATCTGTTGAACAACGTAACATGGTGCCAACCACACGGCCTCCCACAACAATGACACGTACATCCCGTCCATGAGACTCTTTAACATACTTCTGGAACAGGTATGGAGCTTCATGGCGAATAAGATGGCTTAGATCAGCCAAATGGTGCTTATCTCGAGCCAAGAAAACAGCTTTGCCTGTGATTGAAAAAGAATAAAAAATATGTTTAAGTCATCAATCTGTGGGTAGGTTGATATCTATTGCCTCCATCTTCTTGAGTCCCAATCTGTTCTTTCAGAACCAATTACTTTTTAACCAAAGTAATATAGTTAGAATTAGTAAGAAAATGCAAGAATTATACCTAAAACAGTTAATAATTGCCTTCTAGGAGTCTCTCAATATTGAAATTGAAATTCTTACAGTAATCTAATACTTATTTCAGTATATGTTTTGAGGTAGGGATCTAAAATTTGTATTCCTCCAGGTTAGCCAATAATGGCAGAGTCACTTATTGGCAAAACATTTCCTTCATTCATTTAAATCTTCAAGCTATATAAATTGGGAGGGGGAATGACTGGAATCAGTGATATAAGGAAGATACATCCTCTTCTGTTGAAGAGGAAGATAAAAGTATTAACTTGGGACTCAGTCTAAATTAAGTATGTATCTTAAAATCTCTAGGGTAATCACTTAAATGAACAGAAATAGCTTCAAGCCAAACTGAACAACTCACAGTAGCCTTCTCTAAGTTTGAGGTAACATGCACCTAACGATTCCCCTCTAATTTTTCTCCAGAAGCCCTGCTTCAAACACTGTGAATTTCAATTGACAACCCTGCTGTCTAGTCAGTAACCATGAGCAAATACAAAGAAAATAATTGCTTTGATCTGAGAAAAAAATCTATACTGTATAATCACCCTTACTCATTCTCAAAAGTAGGTTTCAAAATTATGTAGCACAGCAACAACTCACACTCACCTCTATGACCGCGTGTGTTCTTCACTACCATTGGAAACTCCAGTACTTCTGCTTCATCAATCATTTTAGAAAAATTTTCATGACCACCTGATTTGAGGGAGGAAAAAAATTTTTTTTAAAACATCAATAGAGGTGGTTTGTGATAAATTTTATCTTCACTGATGACAGCAACACAAGGTAGATAGAAGGTAAGAACTTCATGATTTTGTTTTTCTTGGAGAAAGTAATGAATAAAAGTTGAAAGTGCAGTTAAATGTCAGTTTAAAACAACCACACATTTTTAAATAAACAAAAGCTATCTTAAACTATAAATATTCTAATATCCAATCTAAAGAAATTAAGTATACTTCAGCTCAAACAATGTTTCCTAATTCTACACCACTTTTCATATTTTTTATCCCTTATTTTTCCACCATACAAATAATGGAAGCCTCAAGACCTACTTTAGTATATTCAATTCCCTGTTTCAATTAAGAAACAGAAGAATGAGTAGAGAAGACTTATCCAAGGTTGAAGATGCTGCATGCATTATGTATACCAACTCTCTGCCTCAAACACACAAATTAATTTTTATCTCTATTATTAATCAGAGTTCTTTCTACACTGAACTACTCAGTACCAACATGCTAAGTCTTGCTTCTTATTGTTTTTATTGCCTAGAGACAAATGATATAGCAACAAGATTAGAGCAAAAAAATGGACTGCAGTTGTAAAAAAATAACATGATGATATAGAATAACTAAACTAGGAAGAAGTTCATTAATTGCAATATCATAAATTAGCAGCTTAGAGAAATTAAGATGATCAGTCACCAAATGTGAAGCCTTCAACATCAGAGCATAGGTAATATTTATGTTTTCCTCCTTTCCATTCTCTTAAAATCAGAATTGGGCCATGATATAAACATCAGGAAGATAGAATTCTCATACTATTCATATTGCCTCTTCTGGTGCAATTGCTAAAAAACAGCAACTGTATCACATCTTATAGACTTGAAGAATACACACTTCTTTAAAATATTAAAAATAAGAGAACAGGGATTTCTTTTTAAAGCTTCATTAAATCTCCTAGCATTCTACTGGACATTTATTTAGAGAAATATCTTTATGAAAAACAATACTGATTTATAGTAAATCTTATCCTTCCTAAACTAAAAGGACTGAAAAGAAACTCTATTAACAATATTGTTTACAGCAGTGCTACTCACAGTGTGGCCTACTAACCTGTGCCCATTTCTGACTTCTTTGCTATTTGATAGGTGACCAGATAAATATAAAAAGAGTAAACACTAGAAGCTTTTATAGCAATTTGGCATCGCTATGATATTTTTATTGTACTTTATAAGAGTACTGATAACAGATTGGTCTTTAAAAAAAAAAAAATCCTATACCACAGAGAGTTTTAGAAGCACTGGTTTAAAGCATTCCTGGTATAGTGTCATTTTCTGAATTAAGAAATAAGAAAATATTTATGAAGAATTATCATGAAAATGGTAATTAAGATAATCGGAAATTAAACAGAAATGTCATTAAATTCTATTATCTTTTACCACAGGGGCTGGCAAACTAAGGCCTATGGGACAGGTATAGCCTACTGCTTTTTTCAGTAATAAAAGTTTTACTGGAACACAGCTACACTCATTTGCTTAAGCATTTTCTATAGCAGCCTTCACACTACAAGAGCATTACTGAGGGTCATAAGAGAGAACGTACAGCCGGGAAAGCCCAAAATACTTACTATTTGGCCCTTTATAAGAAAAGTTTGCTGAGTCTGTTCTACCCATATCATGGAACTAAATCTTAAGACATGATTCATAATTCTCCTGCCCAGTTTATTAAAACTGAAAGTTACTTCTATAAGAAGTTATTTCATGTTTACAAATTTCCTTATATCACATAACCCTATTAGTTTAGTATGGCTTTCAAAACTATCAGTTCTCTAAAATTTAGGCTATAAATTCTTATTAATGAACTCACCATAAGAGAAAGTATCTGGCAGAGGAACACCATGGCCAGCCAACTCTTGAAAGGTCCAGAACTTGTTAACACAGTTCAGGATAGCTTGAGGTCGGTTCATCAACCGGCACCCCATCTTCTCTAGATGGCGCAAAACAGTTATGTCACTATCACTTTGCACCCAAGGGGTTGGTACTCTCACTACCACCACCTGGGGGTAGGCAGTAATTAGTTCCCCATTGATCCGCAAACCTGAAATATACAAAAACAGGCCAAAACCATTCAAATGAAATACACAATAAAATACAGGAAAAGAAATATACCAAAGCTTGAGTCACAAAACTAAATGTACTATGTTGTTAATATTTCATTGGGACAAAGAGACGACCCTCCTTAAATTATATTTCTTTGTAAGAAAAATTTAATGAGAAAAACTTCTTCGCTGGCTAAATAACTGTAGTTGTCAATACAAAGAAATACAACATAGCCATTAAAAAGAATGTCACAATCATGTTCAGAAATAGAAAAATGTCCAGATATTGATTTCTTTTAAAAATCTGAGAATAAGTTTTATCTGTGTTTGCATATGCATAGAAAATGAAAGGATAAATTATATAAATGGCTCTCTCTGAGTGTGAGTGGATGGCAAGGCAGGAAGAGGAAGGTAGAATAGGGAACTTGAACATTTTACTCCATGTAATTCTCTATATTCTTCATGTTCTTTAAGTGAGATGAATGCTTTTATAATGAAAAAAATTTTTTTTAAGATACGTTTCTTGAATTTTATCCAGTACCATTTTATTTAATGAGGTGCCAAATAATAAAGTATTTATGAGTTTCTCCTTAAAACCTATTTTCATTTTAAAAAAAATATTTAAAAAAAAACGAACAGTACATATACTTGTTTAAAACATTCAAGTAGAAAAATACAGAGGTGCCTGGCTGGGCATGGCTCAGTGGTTAAGCGTCAACCTAGGATCCAGGTGATCAGGGTTCGATTCCCGTTCAGGGCACATGCCCGGGTTGCGGGCTCGATCAATGACTCTCTCATCATTGATGTTTCTATCTCTCTCTCCCTCTCCTTTCCTCTCTCTGAAATCAATAAAGATCTATTTAAAAAAAAAGAACAAGACAAGGATGCCTATTCTTACCACTCTTATTCAACATAGTTCTGGAAGTCCTAGCCAGACCAATAAGGCAAAAGAAAGAGATAAACGGCATCCAAATCGGGAAGGAAGAAGTAGAAGTGTCACTTTTTGCAGAAGACACGATTCTGTACATAGAAACCCTGAAGACTCCACCAAAAAACTGCTAGATTTAATAAATTAATTCAGCAAAGTAGCAGGATACAAAATTAACATCCAGAAATGAATGGCATTTTTATACACCAATAATAAACTCGCAGGAAGAGAAATTTAAAAAAAAATCCCATTTACCACTGCAACAAAAAAATTAAAATACAAATAGCAGATTTGTACTTTGCATATTATTTTCACAATAACCCTCTCTCTCCATTTTATTGATAAGGAAATTAAAACACATGCCTTCGTTATCATTCCAACAACAAAGCAAGCAAATGATCTAAAATGTATTTGTTTTTCTTATATCCTTAACCAATACTATCACTAAACCATAAAGTATTTTCCAGAAGTTTGTCAAATATGCCACTTATATGCCACCACATAATGTTCCCTAACAGAAATGATCAATTTAGCTCTGTTTAACAAGTCATAACTTTCCAAAGCAAAGATGTAAAGATTCCTGAAAGTTAGTCCTAAAGAATTTCTGTATGTTTCCAAGATATCTTCCCCTATAATCCCAAAACAAATATGAAATACTAGGAATACTTATCATCAACTGAGTCAAATATTAGGACACTTGTACATTAAAAAAACTGTATTAGTATTTTATACCACATGTATAAAGTATTTTATACAGAAAAAAGGGCCCTGGCTGGTGTGGCTCAGTTGGCTGGGTGTCATCCAGTGCACCAAAAGGTTGCCAGTTCGATTCCCAGTTGGGGCACATGCCCTGGCTTCAGGCTCAAGCCCCTGTAGGGTGTGTGCAGGAAGCAGCTGTTTCATTCTCACATCAATATTTCTCTTCTCTCTCTCTCTCTGCCTCTCAATCTCAAAATCAATAATAACATTTTTAAAAAGAAAGAATCACACATAGATTTTGATTCATTTACTACAAGGACCTCGCCATGGATTACAAGGTATTTTAAAACCAGAAGACAGCCTTGGCTGGTGTGGCTCAGATGGTTGTGCATCCTCCTGTGCACTGAAAGGTTGCTGGTTGGATTCAGGTCAAGGCACATGTTGCAGTAGGGGGCGTACAAGAGGCAGCCAATTAATGTTCTGCTCTCACATTAATGTTTCTCTCTCCCCCTTCCTCTCTCCCTAAAAAGCCAATAAAAATCTTAAAAAACAAACAAACAAAAACTAAAAGACAGCAATAACAGAAGAAACCTAGGAGGTTATCTTTAATTTCTCTCCCAACCATTTCCTAAATAATAAGGGGTTTAATAAATATCAGTGTTTCTATTTCTTCCAGAAAATATACTAGATTTTAAGATTAGATAATACTTAGTATGCTAAGGCTATTACAGATGCCTTTGTCCTAATTATTCCTGAGACATGCAGAGTCACCATATTCTAAGTAAAAATCAAAAAAATTACTTAATACAGACTTACCCAGGTTTCCTTGCTCGATGGTCAGCACTATCTCATCCATCACCACGGCCCTAAAGTCCAGTTCTTCCTCACAACACTTGGCCTTTAATGCTCGTAAGATCTCTTTTTGGGGATAGTCTTCCCTGATTCGACGATCTGTCAAAAACCACAACTTGGCAGCCACAGAGCTACACATCTTGATCTGCTTATTCTTCCTTTTCCTGGATTATTTCCTCCTGAATATAAAATCTTTCTAGATAGAAGAGAGAATAAATATACAAATCAAAAAATCTACTTAATTTCTGGATTCACACAATAAATGTAGTGATTACATACTAACTATACAAACAAAATAATAGGGTAATATTATTACTTTCCCCCTTTCATTCAAATTAAAATTTTTTATACCACTAGAAATATGGAAACTGACAACCTCCCCTGAAATAAGATTTCTCCTTTTTCCACTGGGGAAGCTAGCATTGCAGTTTTATAATTACAGCAGGTCACTTATCAGAAACTTTCAATGCCATTCCCCATATTATATATTGTCTAAGATATACTTTAATTTGATCACCTGATTTATCCCCTCCCCCAAAATGCAAATCCCTTCTTGATATGAGACTGCAGTTCATCAATAATATATTCCATAGCTCTATCACTACAAACTTCAGTCATGTATATTCATGTATCTGTAGTTTTTTATTTAATTTTCTTCCCTTATTTTGTTATATGCATGTATATTTTATTATAAACATATTTATAGGCATGTAAAAAAATAAGATAGTAGCACCAACATCACTGGATTCACATCAACATTTTAGTAATTTACACAGGAATTTGAGAATGTGAAAAAAGTTAAAAAAACAAAATAAATGCCAAAGTCCATTCACTAAAATGTGTTTATTTCCATTGGGACAGCATGCTTTTACTTAGTGTTTTTATTCATTCTTTAAATAGAACTTTTAAAAATAAACAGAGCTTGTTTACTAGAATGCAAAAAAGGACTTTCTTCTATAAATAGAGTTTTGCTTCTCAGAGTTTATATCACGAGGAAGACAACAGTTGAAAATCGTTTTCCTGAGAAACAAAAAGTTGTAAGTTTTACTAACAAATGTAACCAGTCATTTCAACAAAAGAAAACTTTCTTTTTCAAAAATAAAATTTCTAGCATTATCACAGATGACAAGGCAAACGTAACACACAAAGAAAGAAAAAAGGGCAAGGACTAGAAGAAGCAATGGCCATACGATAGATGGCTTCCAGCATCCCAGCAGCTGGAACTGGTCCCTCATGCACCATCACACACTCTCCAGGGTCTCAGTCAGAAAGGCCTGCTCCACAGATGCACACATGATTAAGACCAGAACAGGGTGGGAAAGACGCACTACACACTGCACTACACACACACACACACACACACACACACGAACCTTGGCCTGCTATGCCTGCCCATGACCTGTGGCCTCAAAGGCATCAGTCACTGGAAAGCAGGGAAGGAATAAAATAATGTGGGAGATACAGAAAAGAGAGACTTGTAGCTGTGGAAAAGCAAGGAAGGGAGGAGCTCTCAGCTGTGGTGATACATCAAGCCAAGACCCAAGTAACCAGCAAAGGGGATGCCTCATGTCCAGAGCCCCCTGGCCCTCTGTGCCCTTCTTCCATAGCTGTGATGGAGAACATACCCACAAGAGCCCTAGGTAAGATATGGTAATAACTCAATTTACACACTAGGAAGACAAGATGTGGCTTTATGGAGCCTCCCAGGCCACTAGGGAGGGTCTCACTCAGAAGGTCCACAAAAGAAAGTCACACCAGAGTACCTAATATAGAGATCCCATTTTCCCTTGAGAGGGAAACTGTAAAAAATGCCCTTAAAATGTTTATATTGGGTAGTTTTTGAAACACCCTGCCCTTGACCAGGAAACTCTAAAGCCATCTCTGTGCCTCCCCTCACATTTAGTTCTTTAACATCGTCTGTTCACCCATATGGTTGAATTTCATTGTATAAAACTGCACAGCAGTTGTGGTCCCAAGAGAAATTGGATGGGATGTTACAGCCACGAGAACTGGGAAGCAGGAACATTCTGACGATTTTGATATGTCAGCTCTCAGAAAATGCCCAGGCTGCAACGGTAACATACATGGTGTTTTCAGTGATTCTACAGTCAGACAGTAAAAGCACTCCAGGACTGCAATCTCACACAGTCGTGCAACAACCCGACAGATGACACACATGAGTGTCCCATCTCGTCTGGCTTCACTGCCACATAAACTTTGGGTGTTTCTATATTGATATGCAACAAATAAGTTCAGATTAGGCTCTTTATCTCCTTTCATTTTCTTTTTAATGGGCTCAAATTATCCTGATCCTGGGATTCTAACAAAGAAAATGACATTCCCTCCCTGTTGGGAGAGTTTAAGCAAAGCTAAAGATATCATTTCATTTGCTACAACTAGACAACACCCTTTCAGAAGGGATGCCTGCACCCTGGAATTTGGAACTGAAAGAATACTCTCACCGTACAAAAGATGACTCTATGAAAGAGGTAGAGGCTGTGTTGAAGAGGTCCAACATCAGTGTGAATGACTGTAGTTTCTCATTAGCCTGCCTAAGTAGCAGACAAAATGGCAGGAACTAGAAACTGAGGTATCTTTGGTCATGTGGAACACATTTCCTTTATCAGCTTCAAAAGATTCTTGTGTTATGCCTTACTTTTCATGTAAAGATTTGTAGAGGTATGCCAGACTGTATTCCAACTCTTTATTCCTGTACACCAAGTAGATGGCATCCCCAGTTTATAAAGATCACATCTACTTCTTAACCTTCAGCTTGTTAATTACAGTTCCACTGGTGCTGGTATCATCAAGTGACACCTGTCCAGATTTTTTAACCACGATAATTTTAGTGATCTCCAGAGACAAGTTTATTGTCAGGGAATAAAAGGGCACAACCTCTCCTCCACCCAACGGCCCACTCCTGTTTCCACAGGATGAGCAGCTGGCCATTCTTGGTGCCCAGGGTTGCTGCTGCAGAGGCTGCTTGTCTTTAAAAAAAATAATAATAAAGTTTTTTATTGATTTTTAAAGAGAGAGGGAGAGAGAAACATCCATGAGAGAAAAACATCAATCGGCTCCCTCCTGCATGCCCCCTACTGGGGACTGAGCCCTGAGTGAGAATCGAACCATTGACCTCTTGGTGCATGGGTCATTGCTCAACCACTGAGCCATACCAGCTGGGCTTCCACTTTAAGGCTACTCCATTGGGAATTCATATCTAACCACACCCAAGAAATTCTCAAGTGAAGACTCTCCAACCCCAATAGCAGAGGTTCATAATCCCCATCCCCACCCCCGTGGCCTGGCCACCAATGCCTTCCTGTGGGCCAGACAGGGACCAGTGGGTTGGCACTCCCACCAATGGCCTCATCCTCCCGCCTAACCATTATTTAAAAACATCTACTTTCCTATTTTTCCCATCCATTAACATCACGGAAAAAGAAAAAACAACAAATCCTGTAAGAAGTCAAAAGCATAACAGTAACTTTACACAGTCCAGGAGCCCAAAACTACACCAAAAAAAGTATAGTCCTGAGTCTTAAAAAAAATGTTGTTCAAATTATATTCACTATTTTAAAATACAGAAAAGAGTGGAAAATAAAGTGGGGGTTTTCCCCCCCTCTCACATTTAAAGGAGTACCTTTGGCTACCCAATAAAATATTTGTAAGAAAATAGTTTACTCTCCAACAGTGTAAGAGAATCACGGCATTTGCAAATGTTCATATATACACAAGAATATAATATCTCTCCTCTTAGAATATAAACTCAGATCAACTAATTTCCATCCTCTATTTCTTTATTTCCCTTAGAGTATCAAGAAAAACAATGTACATATCAATATCAGATATCAAATAAATGCTACTGATAAACTGCTAAAGTAGTTCTGAATAAAAAGAAATTCAAAGAGAATTTACTTTTCTATTAGAGACAGCTTTCTCATGCAAACTTCTGGATAGGCACAGCACTTTTAAAAAGTCACTGTCATCTTCAAACAGTCTAGGCAAAGCTAATTAAATGGGAATCATAAATAAAGTGATTCATTCATTTTTCCTGTAAGGTCCCTTCCCAATGGTAATTATTCTGGTAGGGGAAAAGCAAAATCACAATCTATCATCTAAAGACATTAAGGCATCGCTTACTATTATTAGGAAAATTCTTTATTTTGGATAAGACACCGCATATGAACCCAGAACCAAAAGAATGAAAAAGAATAAAATTAGAGAAGAAAAAAATGAATACTAATATACAAATTAAAATTTACTCCATTTGGCAATTACTACAGATGTGCTTTCAATGACATCATTCTGTCTCGGATGTGAAACTGGATCAGACTGTAGAGAAAAATATAAATATGTGCATCTTGAGTTGTAGGCACTCCCTCAGTCTCCTTTTCTGTGACCCTTTTTTCCTGACAGCTCTCCTCCTATACATAACCCTCAGGGCTTCATTCTTAAAACTTTCCCTTCTTTCTCTAGAAATGTCATCCTCAGCCAGGTTTCAACTACTGTATTACCACTGAAACCTGAATATATCATTGACCTACTAAATCTCTCTCCCCAACCATGCAACAGTGCCCAATTGTTTGGTCAAATGCTAGTATACATGTTGCTGTCAAAGTATTTTGTAAATGTGATTAACATCTACAATCAGCTGACTTTGAGTAAAGGAGATTACCCTCTATAATGTGGGTAGGCCTCATCTAATCAATTGAAAGACTAAAGAGCAAAACTGAAATTTCCCAGAGAAACTCTGCATCAAGACTAAACACAGAAATCCTCCCTGAGTTTCCAGCCTAATGGCCATCCCTACAGATTGAGAATTGGCCAGCCCCACAATCACATGAGCCAATTCCTTAAAATTAATCTTTCTCTGTCTTGCTCGCTCAATCTCTCTCTGTCATGCAACTTAATAATAAAATTGTACCTTTTAATGCCAAGTTTGTGATGCCTCAGGTTTGAACCAAGGTCTGTTGTTTATCGAGGCTTTTTCTCAATGAGTTCTAATGTCTCCAATTCTTTTCAACCCAGCTCCAAACAAAACAAAATATATTTGAAATATATTACACATATTAAAAATGTTATCCTCTTTCCTTTCCTTTATTCTATCCAAAAGTCCATCAGAAGTAGATCTGAATTGCTCTTAGAAATGAGAAAGAATGGGAATAAGTGGTACAGAGACAAACGCACTAAGAAAAAAGATGGGGGAAAGGGAAAACCACCCCATTTGAGGAGAGCAATGATTTTCATAGATACTAAAGGTACAGAAAATATATAACTGATAAAATGAAAAGCTCAGAAGAGTCTCAGAAACACCCAACTAATAGTGTTAG